TTTTTCTATAGAGTAAGTTCATTAAAAGCATTATCTTAGCCTTCGAGTTAATGAGTCTCAAACTTATTTAGTTAGAAACGTCATGATTAGTACTTTCGGGAGGATTGCCAGATTTAGCAGAGTCTCCCCCCTACGGTCTCCTCGTATAAGAAAAGAAAACGGTGTCGTACCCTATACCCATACCCTCCTGCCCTACTTAACATACTTACTGGGTCACCATAATGAACTACCTTCTATTTTTTTTCCTAATTAGAAGGGGTTTACATGTTCAAGGTCCCAGGTGTTTGTGACAGAGTGACAACGACCTTTTTTTCGAGCCCGTGACAAGGTCATTATCGCGTGACAGAGAGTAGATATGTTGAATATGTAAGGTTTGGTATGTTGATGTTAAATGGATAAGGTTTTTATCAGATTGCACGGAATATATTTAGTATTTTGAGGTTTAATATTAATAATAAAAACCGATTTATTTCAAATACGCTTGTCAGTATTTTCGAAAGAGAATTCATATCTTCATGAACATCAGTTTTCACGATTTGCAATTCTGAAATGTTTCGTAATACAATAAAACTCTAGAGAAAGAAACGTTGAAACTGTGAGCATTTAGAGAAAAATTAACGTGCTGACACTGACGGTATTAATTTCTGTTTTGATATTGACATTTCACTTCGCTTTTAACACTGCCAGCTATACAACAATATGATATTGCAAATTCCTTTAACGTGCTCTATGATGCTTGTATTTTGGCAAGAATATTTGCATATAGGATGTGCGTGGAAATGTAGTTATATATATATATATTCATGTGTACGCGACGCCATGTTTTGTTCGTGATTCAGAATTTATGTTCACTTTTAGAAATTGATGTTTGTAATTTGCATAAGTGAATCAGCACATTATTCATATTTTATCGTAATGTTCTGTAAATGAAATTCAGTCCCGATTCGCGATGTGTTAAAGAGAAACAACATATTCGTTTGATGTCATTCTCTTCATGCTAACACTACCTCATATTCCCTATTCACATGTCTTTGCATTTCATTTTATTGTTTTGTTGTTGTCGTGTAGTTTATATCGACCAAGGGTAAATAAATGTCCGTATTGTGTTTGTTTTTGTGTCACGTTTCCTTTTTGTTGTTGTCTGCCACGTTGAATTGGAAATATTTAAAATCGGTGGGATGTGAAGTCTTGCGTTAACAGGCGTAGAAAATAGTTTAGAAAAAACAACGTCATTTTCACCTGTGTTGGGGGGGGGGGATTTAGTTCAAGCTCATAAACATCTTTTCTCTATAGAGTAAGTTCATTGAAAGAATTATCCTAACCTTCGAGTTAATATGAGTCTCAAACTTATTTAGGTAGAAACTTCATGATTAGTACTTTCGGGAGGACTGCCAGATTTAGCAAAGTCTCCCCCCAACGGTCTCCTCGTATAAGAAAAGAAAACGGTGTCGTACCCTATACCCATACCCTCCTGCCCTACTTAACATACTTACTGGGTCACCATAATGAACTACCTTCTATTTTTTTTCCTAATTAGAATGGGTTTACATGTTCAAGGTCCCAGGTGTTTGTGACAGAGTGACAACGACCTTTTTTTCGAGCCCGTGACAAGGTCATTATCGCGTGACAGAGAGTAGATATGTTGAATATGTAAGGTTTGGTATGTTGATGTTAAATGGATAAGGTTTTTATCAGATTGCACGGAATATATTTCGTATTTTGAGGTTTAATATTAATAATAATAACCGATTTATTTCAAATACGCTTGTCAGTATTTTCGAAAGAGAATTCATATCTTCATGAACATCAGTTTTCACGATTTGCAATTCTGAAATGTTTCGTAATGCAATAAAACTCTAGAGAAAGAAACGTTGAAACTGTGAGCATTTAGAGAAAAATTAACGTGCTGACACTGACGGTATTAATTTCTGTTTTGATATTGACATTTCACTTCGCTTTTAACACTGCCAGCTATACAACAATATGATATTGCAAATTCCTTTAACGTGCTCTATGATGCTTGTATTTTGGCAAGAATATTTGCATATAGGATGTGCGTGGAAATGTAGTTATATATATATATATATATATATATATATATATATATATATATTCATGTGTACGCGACGCCATGTTTTGTTCGTGATTCAGAATTTATGTTCACTTTTAGAAATTGATGTTTGTAATTTGCATAAGTGAATCAGCACATTATTCATATTTTATCGTAATGTTCTGTAAATGAAATTCAGTCCCGATTCGCGATGTGTTAAAGAGAAACAACATATTCGTTTGATGTCATTCTCTTCATGCTAACACTACCTCATATTCCCTATTCACATGTCTTTGCATTTCATTTTATTGTTTTGTATAATCGTTAATAGTTTTCCAGATTTGCGAGACCATGTTTAAAGGCAAACGAGAAGGGGGGGAGAGTAGAATTAGCGAGAATAATGTAGTTATCATTGTCATTACCTGGTTTTCTTGTTCTGCATTTCTCTGGTAAATCAGAAGCTACGTTAGACGATTTGCGTTTTCCCGACTGAGGGGCAAAGGTTTTTTATTTTAATTATGTTTTAGTACGTTTATCATTTAACCGTGTCCTCTTTTATTTTGAAGTGTGTGTGTGTTTGTATGTATGTATGTATGTATGTATGTATGTGTGTGTGTGCGCGCTTAAAACTTTTTTTTGGTGTAATGGAAACTGCAGGTGGTATTTCCCTCCTGGAAAACACGAAAGCATTTTATGGTGTCTGTGTGAATACGCTGAAAGTGCTCTTTTAACCAAAAAGTGATATAGTCATCAAAATGTTTTGGCAATCCTTCAGCTTCTGCATGAAGAATCTGAGTTCAGGAGCCATCATGTTATCACGAACACAGAGGATGTGACCATGACGAGCGAGGGCGTGAGCGCGTCCCCTCCGCGCGATGGCGTCGGGCACGGCACTCTCCAGGTGACCATCAGCGAGCCCCTCAGCCCCCTCAGGCCGCTCCGGAAGAAGGACTCGGGCTCCCCTGAGCTGAGGAGCAGCAGTCCCCTGGGCCTGCACAAGCCCGGCAAGAAGGACCGAGTCGGGGGCTCCTTCGCCAAGGCCTTCAGGAAGGTTTTCCGGAGCCGCACGCCCTCCCCGAGCACCGAGGACCGGGAGGAGGACGGCGGCTCGGAGGCGGGAGAGGAGGTCAAGTGCGACCTGTCGAGCGACTCGGACGGCCATGACAGCCACCGCCTCCTGCTGCGGTCCTCGCGGGGAACCGAGAGCCAGGACTCCGTGGAGAGGCACGACCTGGCCGGCATGCTGCTCAACAGCCATGCCGTCGCGACCTCCAACGAGGAGTTCATGTGCGAGTCGCCCAAGGAATTTCTGTCGGTGAACAGCCCGGGCATGGGCAAGTCGCAGACGTACTCTGTGCTGTCCGAGGCGCTGCACCATGCCTTCGTGGAGGGCATGATCTGCACCGGGACGGAGGACATCAGCATGGTGACCTCCAGTGAAGAGCTGCAGTGCCAGGGCAGCAAGAGCGAAAACGACACGGAGCACAGTCGCTCCATCGACTACTCCTTCTCTTCCACGAAGACGTGCAGCTACATTTCCTCCGAGGAGTACGACGTGCACAGGAGGGACTCCGAGGCGCCCCTGACCAAGCGCTCCCTGCTGGTGCCCTCCGTGTCCCTCCGCTCGAGCAGCTACTCGGACCACTCCGACGGGGGCACCGACGACGACAGCAGCTCGCAGCACAGCCGGGACGAGAGACAGGACTCTGCCTCGCTGCCCCACTCCGACCACAAGCTCTTCTTCGGCCACTTCTTCTCGTCCTCGCGCCGCTCCTCCATGGTGCCTCACGCGGAGGAGCCCAAGGCGGAGGGCGCCGGCCCGCACCCGACCAAGCACAAGGACCACCCCGCGGGGAATCCGGGCGAGCACGGCAAGAGCCACAAGACGCTGGGGGACACTCTCAGCAAAGTGGCCGAGGTAGGTGGGGGGGGGTCGTCCGATGGCCAGGGAAATGGTGGTGATTACGGCCGCTGCTGCCTAGTTGGTCTCGTAATTGTGGCGAGACTACACTGTTGTAAAACATTGAACACTAACGGGTATAGATTGGCAATTAGCTTATGTAATAAACTGCATTGTTAATCTTGACTCTTTAATATTCAGTAACATAGTTTACATAGGATTTCGCTGTTTTCCCGTTAATTGTTGTATATTTTTATGAATTAATAAATGTTGAAAGTCATATGCAAGAAGATATATAATTGCTGTTATTTAGCTTTTATGTATGGAACAATAAAGCCAAAAAATATATACAGCTGTATCAGTTGTGTTCATAAACTAAACTGGACATATGTGGTTTATTATTGGCGTAATATAAACACACACACACACACATGCACGCACGCACACACACGCACACGCACGCAACGCACACACACACGCACACCACACACACACACACACACACACACACACACACACACACACACACACACACACACACACACACACACACACACACACACACACATACATATACACATACATACATACATACATACATACATACATACATACATACGCACACGCACACATACATACATACATACATACATACATACATACATACGCACACACACACACACACACACACACACACACACACACACACACACACACACACACACACACACACACACACACACACAGAAATTGATAGTGTATTTATATAAACCCAAATATTTAGTCAGTCAGCAAAGTAAAGGTTGGTATTTTCATCCACATTATTACAGGTTTCAATTAATAAAAGCCATTGTATATCATTATTTACACAGTTGGTTAAATCCATATTGATTAAAATATTAATTTTTCCTTTCTTTTCCTCTCTTTCTTTTGCTTTTTCTCTGTTTCTGTTGTAATTATCAAATCATTCAACACAGGCTTAAATTGCATTCTCTCCCTAACACCCCTTTTAACGCCCAAATCCTCATGTCGACCTTCTTTTCCTTGCAGTATTTGCAGCGCGGAGGTTCGAGATTGGCTGAGCAGCAACGTCGCCTTAAGAGCCAGATATGGAGTTCGGTGGTTACTATCGTCCTGGTTGAGGGCAAGGAGCTCCTGCCCATGGATCCCGACGGCACTTCGGATCCCTATGTGAAGTTTAGGTGAGGAGGCCAGGGTTCTGTCGTTATTAGTTGTTAGTTGTTTTCTCTTTGATTATAGTTCTCTGGTTATTTTGTATATATATTTTTAGCAGGTTAGAGGATTAGAACAGTTTTTTTTCTTCTTCTTTTTCTTTCTTTCTTTCTTTCTTTTTTTTTGTCTGAAAATGTGAGTGTGTTGGAAGTAAGGGGAAAAAATTCTTAGGATGACTTGCATAAATACTCTACAGACCTTCAAGATGCTGATTAATTATGATTTGGTCAAATTTGTAAATCTTCAGATTTACATGATTTATAATACCTCTTCCTTTTCTTCTTGTTCTTTGTTACTCGAGGTTTTCTTACCACAATACATGCATTGTTGAATACTGTTGTAGCTTCACTTGAGTTTTTAATGAGGAATATTTTATATTTTAATGTGGGATATCTTTATTTTTGTTTCTTAGATATTTGTTCCAGTTGCACATTACAGCAGCATCTTCAATAATGTATTATCCTAAAACCCTACATGCTTTTACATTCCTTGCTAGTTTTGCATTTCAATTTTTTTTAATAGATCTATTCAATTTTCTTTTACTGAGGATTGTTTTTGTCTTATCATTATTAATCTTATTATTGTTATCATTATCATCATGATGATAATCAGTGAGCATTTTTGTCGAAATATTTTTATTTTTCATGGTACTTCTTAAAGGTATTAAGGTATGAATAATAATTAAAGGTATAAACTACTTCATTAAATAGAATATGACATTCACTTTTATTTCCTCCATATTTTGAATATATTATGAAGCATGAATCGCCTCTTGCAGTTTATTTTCTGTATTATTATTAGTTATACGATTTTTATGGTTTTATTTGTCTCTGGTCAATAATACACTATTATATAGCACAATTGATTTACTGAGCTGGTGCTTGCGTTTGTAATAGTTATGGTAAAAGAAAACCAGAAACCCACCTTTTACTCTAAGTAACTATGCTTTTTTTTTCTAAACTTAAATCTCTTGCATAACACGAGACATTTACCATTGCTATTATTTTTGTTTCTTTTCTTGCTCCCAAATTTCCTAGGCTTGGCAATGAGAAATACAAAAGCAAGGTGGAGATGCACACGCTCACTCCGAAGTGGCTGGAGCAATTTGATTTCCACCTTTTTGAGGATCAGAGCCAGCTCTTGGAACTGACTGTGTGGGACAAGGATGTGCGGAGTAAAGATGATTTCATGGGAAGGTAAGATTTTGGCCGTGTGGCTCGTCTGTCTGGGTTCTGGGTGTCTCTAATGTGTTTGGATATCTGTGTGTGTTTCCTTTTACCTCTTAGTTCCCATCAAATCTCCTATAGTATATATATGTGTATGTCTATGTGTGTCTGTGTGTGTGTGTGTGTGTACATGTACATGTGCAAATGTGCATATGCAAGGAGTGCGTGAATGAGTATGTGCACATGAGTGTGTGAGAAAGAGATAGTGAGTGATAGTGAGTGAGAGATGCAAAATGCAACTGAAGAAAGAATTGAGTGACAACATTTACTTGTTCAACAAGTAATTTCTTTACATAACATTATGCATCATATATTTTCCAAAGTTTAAGATCATGTATTTCTGCAACAGATGTACACTGGACCTAACGCAGTACGAGCGTGAGAAGACCCACCACATTTGGGCGGAGTTAGAGAAGGGAGCCGGGTCCATCTTCCTCCTCCTCACAATTTCTGGAACGACTTCTTCTGAAACCATATCAGACCTTCATTCATACCAGGAGAATCCCAGAGAATTAGATAATGTTTCCAAGAGATATGTAAGTTTATTTGTATATTAATTTGTTTTATTTCTTTTGATATATTGGAAAAGGATATAATTCTTGAAGATATACTGTAGTTGAAGCTATAAGTACTATATTTAATGGTGAAGACAATTAGCAAGCTACCTTTTTTCACACAGTTTATTCTTTGTCTTCCTAGGCCTTAACAAGATCTCTTCACAACCTGAAAGACATTGGCCACCTGCGGGTCAAGGTGTATCGAGCGCAGGGCTTGGCGGCAGCAGACATTGGCGGCAAAAGTGACCCATTTTGTGTCTTGGAACTTTGCAATGCCAGACTTCAGACACAGACTGAGTACAAGACGCTCTCTCCCACATGGAATAAGATCTTCACCTTGTTAGTATTTCACTTCTCTTTATTTATTTAGGCCAAAAGAAGCAGTGATTGTGTACTTTATTTAGGTGGTTAAAAAAAATTGCTGGAATTATTTTGCTGTCTTAGTAAAAATATTCCTTAAATTAAGAAATAAAATTTATTTTTCGCCAATATAACCAGTCATTACAAATTGAGACTGTATTTCACACTCATCTGTTTTAAATTCTGTTTAAAATTTTCCTCTCTCTTTCAGCAATGTCAAGGATATCCATAATGTTTTGGATGTCACCGTCTATGATGAAGACCGAGACCACAAGGTAGAGTTTCTGGGGAAAGTCGTCGTTCCTTTACTTCGGATGAAGAATGGCGAGAAGAAATGGTAAATGTTTGTTCTTTGATATGCGTGCTTTTATTTCCTTTTCTTTTCTTGCTTTTGTCATAAGACCTTCCAATGATAATGAAGTTTGCCTTTCATAGTCATTTCAACCTTGCTCTCATGTTATATAAAATATTTTCAGTTATATTTTATTATTCCATGTTTGTAGTTCATTATATTATCCCTTTTCTGTTTTCCAAAAATTAGGTATCCGCTAAAGGATAAAAAGTTACGTGCTCGTGCAAAGGGAAACAATCCAGAGATTCTGCTAGAGTGTTCTGTAGAATGGAATCCAGTATGTATTTGAGATGTTTTATTTCAGTGAAAAAAAAGTAACTATTTGAAATATAGACTTGAATAGAAAAATGATATGTGGAATCAGACAAGAGATGTGTCACTTGAAAACTATCCTAACTTAAATGTTATACCCATTATTTCAAATCATATTTGACATATTTTCTGGACAAGGAATAAAAAACTAATAAAACTAGCCTTATCTTGACTTCGTAGAACATCATATAGCAGAGTAGAAATACCCCAATCATTGTTATTATAAAAGCTAAATTTTTTTCTGCACTCCAGATCCGTGCTGCCATCCGAACTTTCACTCCGAGAGAGGAAAAGTACATGCAGACTGAGCAGAAATTCAAGCGCCAAGTATTTATCAAAAATGTCAATCGCCTTAAGTCTTCCATCATGGATTTCTATGAGTTAGGGAAATTTATCAAGTAAGTTCTTTTTTGGAAGGGTTTTGATAATGAAAACTGGTTTGCCTCCTCCTTCCCCTCTTGCTCTCTCTTTCCATCTCCCCCTTGCATCCTTTTTCTTCTCCTCCTCTCCCCCCTCCCCCTCCCCCTCCTTCTTCTTCTTCTTCCTCTTCCCTCCCTCCTCCTCCTCTTCTTTCATCTTCTACTTCCTCTTCTGCTTCTTTTTCCCTTCTTCCCTTCTCCTTCTTCTTCCCTTCTCCTTCCTCCTTCTCCTTCTCGTTCTCCTTCTCCTTCCTCCCATTCCCCTCTCTCATCCCTATCAAACCTCACAGTGGCTTTGAAATTGTGTCTCAGTTATCATACCTACGAGCATATCACAGCACATTTTGACAGTCTCTCTAACCTGATCTTCCCTTCACCAGATCATGCTGGGAGTGGGAATCACCTGTCCGGAGCATCATAGCTTTCATCTTATTCATGGTCATTACGTACTACTTCGAGGTCTACATGTTGCCAATCCTACTGCTTATGCTCTTCCTCAGAAACTACATTGTAAGGGTTTTAAAATGGTGTTCTGTTGAGCCTTGTTTTGTGCTTATGTTTTAGGAAGGCATTCTTGGTCTATTGATTAAATTTATGAAATTTTGATGGAATTAGGATATTTGTTGAGATACTGAGAAAAATATGCAAATTGTTTGATTTAGTGTGTGCGTATGTGTGTGTGAGCACACATGTATTGAATTGCTTACATGTCTGTCAGTTCATGTATGCAATTCCAGTATTTATGGATCTGTTTATCTGTATTTTTAAATGTATTAATATTTTTTTTTTTTTAGAGTTTCAGAAGCATATGAAAACTGAATTTACATTGATTACAAATATCTGTTGGTGATTTTGCTTGGTTTCAACAAAGCTCATATATTTTTCCACGTCCCCCATTTAACAGGTAATCTCAATAGTTGGTAGCATGCACCGAGAAGAAGAGAGTGAACTGTCTGGAGATGAGGAGGAAGTTGATGATGATGATAAGGATAAGGTAGATGAATTATAGATATGAGGGGAATTTTGCATGCTTCTGTTTTGTATCTCTGTAGGTTGAATAGTTCAGTAGATCAAGAGCAGAAACACAATTTGGCATTAATGTTGGATTAAATTTTTTTAAGTGCATTTGTCCAATGTGTTTTTATTTTGATTTTTTTTTTTTTTATTGAGTAGTATTTAGGATAATTTATATGGGAATTAGATAGGCTTATGTGCCTTTTATTGCATGATTTAGAGAAAATAGTGAGTAATAGTATGTTCTTCAGTTTGGTTGTGTTTCTTTATGTTAAATTAATCAATATTACAGTTGGAATTGGTAGTTGGTGTTCTGTCATTCTTGCTGTAAGGGATAGACAATCCACTTTTCATAATGATTTAATGGAAAACTTGTATATTTTTTTTTTTTTTTATTATTAATTCCTTGATATAATTGCAAAGAATGTCTTCTGTGGTAATATGCAAAAGAGCCAATCATGAAAGGTGGAAATCTTAATTATAACAACTTGATTTCTTGATTACTCAGCTGTTTTTGATCAGATATTTAAAAATAAGTTCTTTCTGTTGCTTTCTAAATGTATGTACATTCTTTTATTTGCTATATTATTTTTTTAACTGCTGTACTTAAAAATAGTACTTTGTACAGAAGTCTTGGATCTTTTTTTCAGTTTTTATTGTGTGTGTTTTGTGTTAATTTATTATTACTTATTCTGCTTGCAATATTTGCCGCTTTGTGTGTTGTATCATTAGTGCAGCTGCAATGTGTTTTTAATTGTTTTCATTTTTGGTTCTCGGACATTATGGATATACTTTACCTTTAAGTGTTTTTGCAGCATGACACATCGATTATCACCCTTTTCATATATACCTGGCTGTTTTTCCAGAATATGAGCGTAGAGGTAAGAAAAACAGAGAGTCGTAAGGAATGTGGCATTAATGCATCCCCTAATGACCTCAAAAGTAAGGTGAGGGAGAGAGGACTAACATGTAACTAACGCGTGGAAGCTTTTGGGAAACTGAGTGGTGCCTAATTGGAATGCACTTCCAATGCTTTGCTTGCATTTTCGCTTTCTTAACCATGACTTGTGAATAACTCTGGCTTGTGTAGCGTATGGTAAGCCAGTGGATTGATGGCATTACAGTATTTCAGTCGAGACAGAATGAGTTTGAGATTAAAATGTCATTTTGAAGCATAGAATGCCTATTTCATTGTTACCATACATTACATGTCTCAGAGGTCTTATACCTTCCCTGATTTTTTTTTCAAATCTATTTCGTTAACACAATAACGGTTTGATCTTATCTATATACACAGGATTTCAAGGGTGACTAATTTTTATTAGAATCTGGATTTCTTTCGTGGAAAAAGTGAACATAATGCTTGACTAATGTGTGTTAAATGCAAAATAGGAATCTCGGATTTAGGAAACATGTTCACGCACATGCACACATGCAAACACGTGCAGACTCACATGCACACACACGCTACAATCAACCACAAGTATGCATACCCACATGCACTTGCACCATGCTGGTATACACATTTGCACTCCAATGAACCAGAACTAGTACATGCACATGAACACACATGAAAACACACACACACACACACACACACACACACGCACACACACACACACACACACACACACACACACACACACACACACACACACACACACACACACACACACACACACACACATACACGCACACATACACACACACACACACACATACACGCACACATACACACACACACACACATACACGCACACGCACACACACACGCACGCACATGCACACACACCCAACACTTACACACATGCTTACCCACACATACACTTGCACATACACACTCACTCACTTCTGTTCTTGCACATACTCAGTATTTACTCAGACGGTACTATTCGAAAACGATTCCAGATTACTTAAATTGACTTTCCTCTATTCAAAAGATGCTAGAATGGCCTTGGTTCTTTTCTTATTTCTTGTGAAAACTTCTTTCTGGCTTCAGTTCTTCAATTTAGAATAAGGATAATGAGTGAAAGTTTTGAGGGTGTGAGAGAGAGGCAAGGAGAGAGGGAGAACAAGAATAAAGAGAGAATGAGAGTGTGGGCTAGAGAGAGAGAGAGAGAGAGAATGAGAGAATGAGAGTGTGAGCAAGACAGAGAGAGAGAGAGTGAGCAAGAGAGAGGGAGAGAATGAGAGTGTGAGCAAGAGAGAGAGAGAGAGAATGAGTGTGTGAGCAAGAGAGAGAAAAAGAATGAGAGAGTGAGCAAGAGAGAGAGAGAGAGAATGAGAGAGTGAGCAAGAGAGAGAGAGAGAGAGAGAGTGAGCAAGAGAGAGAGAGAGAGAGAGAGCAAGAGAGAGGGAGAGAATGAGAGTGTGAGCAAGAGAGAGAGAGAGAGAATGAGTGTGTGAGCAAGAGAGAGAAAAAGAATGAGAGAGTGAGCAAGAGAGAGAGAGAGAGAATGAGAGAGTGAGCAAGAGAGAGAGAGAGAGAGAGTGAGCAAGAGAGAGAGAGAGATAGAGAGAAAGAGAGAGAGAGAGAGTGAGAGTGAGCAAGAGAGAGAGAGAGAGAGTGAGCAAGAGAGAGAGAGAGAGAGAGAGAGAGAGAGAGAGAGAGAGAGAGAGAGTGTAATAAAAGAAATAAAGAAAATGCAAGTGTGGGAATGATAATCTGAGTATGAAAGGAATAGAGAGAGAAATGAGAGTAGACTGAAGAATTAAAAAGAAATTAAGTGAAAGTGAGCAGGGATCATTCATATATTTAGAATGAAATCACAAAAAAGCATGAATGGGAGAAGAGCAAGAGAGAAGTTCAAGCAAGTGTAGAGAGAGAGAGAGAAAAGAGAGAGAGAGAGAGAGAGAGAGAGAGAGAGAGAGCTAGTGAGAGTGATAAAGTGTGTGAGTATGCAAGAGTGTGAGTGTATTATGGAGTGTACGATGTGAGGGTGAGAGTGAGAGAGGGAAAGAGAGACAGGAGAGAAGTAGACAGGGATTAAAGAAGAAGAAGAAGAAGGGAGAATGATTGTGTAATTGTATAACTGGGTATTGACAGAAAGTGTGAATTCTTGACTGATTGTGTGAAAATTGAGTATGAGATAGTCAACAGACAACAATGACTAATGACTGACTATTAATTATAAACAAATTAATTGACAAATAGACTCATTTACCACGGGCAAGCTTGGATGCGTGACTTTAATGTACATTTAATAAATTTTTGCTTATAATAAAGGAAGAGAGCATTTGGTCTGGGGAGCTAAAAATTTAATATTGGTAAGCAACTGATTTGCAATTGATAATGAACTTTGCATTACGATGATATGTGATTGAATGCCATATGAAAAAGATTGCAATGATCATAAAATTTTGATTGTACAAATAAAGATTTGCGCATGATTTTCAGTATGTTTATAATTGTTTATGAAATTTTTTTGACAAATATTGGGATATTGAATATTCATGATTTATAGATATAAGAGCTGTCATTATTTTAATGTATTTTTATTTATTGAGTTAAATATATGTAGTGTAATATTCACCATAAATTAGACTAGATTAGGGCGCACAGGCATTCTTATCGTACATATACATGTATTTATTTTTGCATTCGTTTCATTTGTTGACAGAGAAGTATTGTAGAGGACAATTTTATTTAGTTTATTTTGGGTATTTGTATTTCCGCGCATTTTAAAGGCTTCCTTCCGATCATGCGGTACATTCTTGCCCCTTCCTCCTCCTGTATCTGACTACCGACCTTTACACACTGGCAATAAGCCTGGTAAATGTAGTTGTAAAATTAGATGGCAATACTGCCGCCTCAACGATTGGAATTCGCTGTGACCCCCAAAGCCAATAGCACCGGGAAAGAAGTGCTTGGATCCCACGGCCTCGGCAAACTTCCCCAACCCAGAAGTCGCACCTTTTGTACCCCACTGGAGAATGTGCAAGACGTCAGGAAATCTGAAAGACTACAGCAATTGCCTTGCATTGCTGCTTTCAGCTCCCACTATTTGAACACAAAGTTAAGTCCCGCAAGTCCCAGTCAGGAGAGTCACCTTGAATGTGGTCTTCTGATCTGTATGTCGTTCCTAGACTACATCCCGCCGTATAGTTACATCATTAGTCTGTGGTGACGAATTTACACCAGCATAGATTTTTTTCTTTGTCTTTTTATAAGATTTGTTTATAAAATATGTACAATAGTAAAGGGTGTAGGTTCTAAGTGTCACATGTATAAAGAATTGGGCATAGCTTTCATGGTATTTCAGGTGTTGTTGGGTATTTAAGTATTGTAATTGCAGGGGTAGCTGGGAAATGGGTTGCACCTTTGGCAGCTTTGCATTTTTTCTTGATGAGACATGATAACTGATGTGAAAGAAGGGCAGACGTAATTTGCAGCTTAGAGTACTGTAAATTAGTGTTTTGAAATGTGTAACTGTGAATTACAAGAATCCCAATACTTTCAGGAGGAGAAGAAAACTCTCAAGGAAAGATTGCAAGTTATACAAGAGGTTACTGCAACAGTTCAAAATGCCATAGGTTATATTGCTTCCATCTTCGAAAGCTGCAAAAAGTAAGTTAGATTATTGACCACATGTTTGTAAAGAATTTTAATATGCTTTTCATATTGTTTTAGAAAGTTTACTGCATAAAAAGAAAAAAATTGTTCTATAGTGCTATAAAGTTTTTGTTACAAGAATACAGAGAAATGTAAAAGTACATTGCAATAGATAAATAAACATAGTATAACACACATACTAGCTGTCATTATAGAGTTTATAAGCATTAATATTTCTTTCTTACCCTTGACAGCACATTCAACTTTTCGGTGCCATTCCTGTCGTGGTTGCTGATCATGGTGTTGATGGTGGGCTCGGTCGTTCTCTACTATATTCCTGTTCGTTACCTAGTTATGATGTGGGGCGTCAACAAGTTCTCTCGCAAACTGTTACGGCCTCACTCCATGGTGAACAACGAGCTCTTAGACTTCCTCTCGAGAGTGCCAGATGACGAGCTATTGGTAAGATTAAAAAGGGGATTCCTTTGTTAGTATATTCATTTTTTGGAATGTTTTTGTGTGGTTCAAGTAACGGATGAATTCATGTGAGAAAGGTTGATATCTTAGTTCTTGTTTAAGGTATTCTTTGGATACAAAAATATTAAATTTGTCGTGGATATATGTTACTGATTTTTATATCACTGATAGTACCTGGAATATGACAATGCAATTTTAATTCAAGTGTGATGATATAAATTCTTGAGTACTCCACCTGTACCTTTCATATTCCATATTACATGGTATTATAGTCCATATATATTAGATTAATATGCATTTTATGTAATAGAAATGTTTTACATTATATTTCACAGACAAATTTCTTCCGTATTTTCTCATGCAAAACCCATTTTCACTTCTAGCGGGATTGCCGTGAGTTACGCCCAATACCTCAAAGTCACGACGAGAAGAGAAGAGACCAGAGGAAAAAGAAGGTGGCGTAGTTCCCTGTATCAGGGACAGAGGATATATATAATACCTTTTTTTTCAGGAAAGCAAAATGTTGTGGTGTATCTTTACCACAGAGATGCTGGTTTTCTCTTGGAGTAAAATGAATGAATAATCAAATCAGAAGTTTGAAAGCAGTGACAATTCCTTTCAATTTAGAGACCCCTTAAATATCTAGGACACTGTTCAAATATCATTACATACTAGATAGAGCAAACGACGTGAGAGATCTTTAAAGAATCAAATTAGTCATGGCAGTAGCTGAATCATGTAGGGAAAGCATTTAATCACAGCATCATCACGTCGAGACATAGAGCTGGAGTTATTTCCAGAGCAACTGCCAGATCTGTTAGAAAACTAGGTCTTTTTTCAAGAATTACAGCTATTGTGTACAAGAGAATTTCTAGGCTAGAATCCAAACATTCTTATAGAATCTGTTGTCATCCGCATGAAAAAGAATCCAAGGCATGTGCATTTGTATGATTGTATTTAAACTGTTGTTGTTGTTGTTGTTGAGAGTCTTTCATACGTCTTTGTATTGCCATTTTCGTAAAAGTTTTTGCAGAGATTTGTAGGAAATAATTTTACAGTGACAATTGAATGATACTTAATTGTGAAGAAAACTATTGACTGATTTCCTCTCAACTTATGTATTTTCAGTGTCTGCATAATATGCATATCTTGTTATTCAAATTTCATGAATAATATATCAACTTTAAGCATGATAAGCTGCATAAGTCCCATATGAAGTATACCTTGGATTTCTCTCTAGTTAAAAAACTTGTTGCCAGGTAACATGGGGAACTAGTCTGTAAATAAGCCATTTGTAAAGATTTTAGAAGTAGATTTCATTACATTTAATTTTTTGTTCTCATTTTTTTTTTAAGAGGATTAGTAAGAAGTATCATTTTTATACATTTTGAGGGCTTGAGATTACCCCCAAAGGTGTCCCTCTCTCTCCTACGATAAATTCTGACAAATAATTAATCCCCACAAATCAACTCTTTGAAACTGTATTAATTATATTATTACAGGTAGATGTGAGGGTGGCTCATATGTATGTAAATGTCAGACATAAAAAATACAAATTTACACATGCACAAAAAAAGGATTTTTGGTGATTCTACATAGAAGCAGAGCACATTTCACTGACTTGTTGAATCTGCCTGTTTTAATTACTATATATTTTATGTATATATGTACACACTTTTGCCCCCAAGTGGTGCTCTTATATTATTCACATTCCTAGCCATTGATCATATTTTGTTTTGTCAATAAATGTGTTGCCCTGATTTTGTATCCAAATTGCTTACACTAATTATCATCCAGACATCCAAACAATTTGAGAGTTAAGAGCTTCTGTCTCGTGCAGTGTCCTTGTGCAGCAAAGATTTACTACATATTTCCTCCTGTTTTCAAAGAAAGTTCTGTATGTACGGCATAATTAATGCACAGATATGCACAGCGTATACCCGAGAAGTTTTGGATGGCGGTGTGGAATTACGAATATTAGCTCATGGTCTGTTAATACCTAATGGTGTCTGATAGTTTTACACACCTGGAAAAGGACATTTGACTTTGGTTTTACACTACATTGGACACTCGGCCAACACACGTGGCAAATGAATCTAATCACCAGTATTTTATCTTGTAAATTATGTCTTAGGTATAAGGAATACCATGTGATTGAACAAATAGGGTATAACAAAGATTAAAGAGCACAGTTGCATCCAAATACAGCATTTACATGTTAGTGTATTTGTTTGACTGATCTAGTCAGTGTAAAATATTATTTTCATACTACAGTGTGGTTTAAGTTACAGTATTTATAGTCACTATCCTACAGCACTGCTTATATCGAAGTTGGGTTTAGTGAACTATTGATTGAAAACCGAGTTGGATAAAAGATATTTTGAGTATCCTATCCAGCATCAGAAACCTTGTTAATAACTCTGGTGAGGGGATTGCGTGTTATAGCATAATCTTTTTTTATAATAAAATTTTCAGTGTTGTCAGTTTGACATATTTACCTGTGATACACAAGGTTGTTAGGGCTTCAGGTACATTTTTTTTCACATTTATCAGTAAAATATAAATCTCTCAGCATACTTTAAAATTCAGTTTACTATTGGTTACATGAAAGCCCATTATTGACCGAGAAAAGTATGAAATAAGTGATAAGTTTCCAGTTACAAACTCTTGAATTTCTTGCCCTCAGAAAATATATATCTGTCTGTGATTAGTAATGAATAATCTACTCTTACAGCAAGAAAATGAACTGAATAAAGAGTTAATAGTTTCACTTCACATAGTATATTCAGGTTAAAAAAAATGGTCCTATGTTCAGTAAAAGGCATTATTACCACTTTAAAGAAAGATTTGTTTGAGGAGATTCAGTTTGTAACGGGAAATAATGTTGGTTTGATCTGATATTTCTGTTAGAATTTCTCAATATCTGTATGGAACTTTTTCATTTGTACATGATATATATGTATATATCTATTCTGCCAAATAATTAGGTGTGAGAGTTTATTTTCAGAGTTAAAATAAAAGCAAAAGGCATGAAATGTAAGGGTCTGTCTACTTCTGCAGTAGGAGCTAGTGTGATTTGTGAAGTAAAAGAGAAGAGATGATATGGTTCATGAAATGGTGGCAGTATTGCATAATTAAGTGATGGATTATAACTGTGGCATTAAATTAAATTGTATGTTTTTTGTACATTCTTCATGCTTAACAAAAATACTTGCATTACGTGACATAGTAAAAATAAAAGTCATGGTGGAAAAAAAAGTATTCAATGAGAAAAAAAAGCAAATTGTAAATTCACAATAACTAATGCTCTTCCTATTTATTAAATTGCCATAGGGTTAGAAATTTTATCAATATATGTACAAGCATTTGGAAGGCCTGAGGTGGTACTTCTTTGAAAATGCTGTGTCTCTATATGGGTATCATATTCCAACAATTCTATCATACAGTCAGGCCCTCTGTTTTCTCTTTCCCTTCCTTAGTATCCATGGGCTTGTGAGCTTCATAAAAATAAAATATAAAATACAAGCAAACATTAAAAAAAAAAAAAAAAAAAAAAAAAATGAATTGACCACCATACGCTTAACTCTTTTTTAAAGTGTCATAGAACGATCTTTCCTGGGAGACTGACAAAAAAAAGTTTTTCTTTTTTTTTTTTTATTGCAAATTATTGAGAAGTATTGAAGTGCAACTAACAACCCATGGATTACTCTTGTGCATGACTTCCTCCACTGTGTTGTCCTCACTCCATCCATGCGGTGATATGATACGTGTTTGTCTGTTTGTCAACACCGATACCAATTGGTGCCACTGATAATAAACAGTTGTTTCATGTTCTATTTGATTATCTTAAACTTTAAATAAATATCTTTTATATGAATATTGTTTTATATGCCCTAAGACTCTCCCTTTATATTCATACATACAAAACAGTAAGGTAAATGAATTTTTCTTTTTCTTTTTATGCATATTGTTTTATATCGTTAAAGGTTCTTTTTTACATTTATACAAACATATTAAAACAAGAATTCAACTACAATAATAATGTACAATCTCTTAAAATTGATTGTAATATCACGAACTTTCCTCCTCAATGTCCTGTTCCCCTTCATCGTCGGTCATGAGTCCGAGCTGCCTACACGTCCACACAAAATGGTCAGGTGGAGGAGCGGTGATGACCAGGTCGGAATTGTCTTTCTTGAAGCGGCTTAATCTTAGTTTTGTGAGGTGCAGGTGGCAAGGTATCATCTCTACTGCTTTGTTGAGCAGATTCAATCTTGAGAAAGTGTCATCGGGTAAGGTCTGCAAATAAGAGGGTGAAAATAATAGTGATATGAAATCAAATTAATTAGTGTATTAAAAGTACTTGGCTTATAAAAGCAAAACTTGAATGTGGTATGCACACAATTTCCATTATAAAATTAATTCTTGTTGACAATGTTAGGCATTTTCATGTTTTTGAAAAATGTTTTTGCAAACTGAGTTATCACAGTTGCTTAGGATTCAAAAGTAGACAAATACTAATTATTTGTTATTCATCTTTTCTTGATGATGACTGATGATAAAAAAAAACTTTTATCCAAAGAAATACCCAACAAGAATGGCAGAAACAATGTTAAAATTAGGACTTTTATTTTTGGGGCTATGGTATCCAAGGCTACAGTCAAAGGGTTAATATTTTATAGATTAATGCAATGGAACAAGAGTCTTACCTGTGGAACATATGATGTGAGATTCTGTACATCAACAAGCACCTTTTTGCCTGCAATTGTTTTCACTCTACCTCCATAGAAATGGTCTCCCAAAACTGGGCTGTAACTGTATGCTAGCCATACTCTCAGGAAATGGTTCTTGGTGACATGAACATTAACCTGTTAATGAAAAAAAAAATAATAATAATAATAATAATAACAACAATTTCTTGTATTGATGAAAGACAACTCATTAAACAAGGCAAAATGTACCAAAATACTCACTTATGAATAAAGTTTAGTACAATCAATCATATAATTAACCCCTATGATCAGGATGACATGACCAGCACATCATGAAAAAATCTGGCTTGAGAGGCAGGTGACATGAGCACACCTTCAAGGGAAAATCTGGCAGAGGGCTTGCTGTTATGAGGATTTCAGCTGAAAGCCAAGGTGATAGGAATGACTCCACACAAATGCACAAAACTCTTGGAGGGTGATTAGCCTCAGTGGGCATTTAAGGAAGGGGCTTTTGCCTTATATCCATTGATAAAAGAGAGTGGAATGTGCTATCTATGAGCCATTGCTGAAGCATCCAGATTCAAGGGGTCAATATGAAATATTACCACATTACAGCATTCTTCAACTAATTCATGTAATAAATTGTCTAAATTACATAAACATAAATAACCTATGTAAGAATTCATACTTAATAATATATAACACAAGGTAGAATCTTGCAGTTCTACAACAAATAACAGGAGTCTTACCTCAACAAGGGACATATCTGATTCTTTACTGAACATTTTTGTCACATGTTCCACAATGGCCAATTTCGTTTTCCCCCTTTTGATGTCGCCTTTGGTGTATGCTTTCTTAATCACTGGCTAAAGAAATAAAAATATAGAAAAGAAAGAAGTTAGACATCATTTCTATATACAAGCCATATATCGTTTCAAAACAGAGGTTAAAAATTAGCTGTATTTAAAGCACCCACGCACGCACGCACACCTACACACACACAAAAAATAACACTGAAACACTCACCACATGCCCTGTGTTCGGAACATGCTCAAGGCCAAATGGAACTTTCTTTGCAACGGTCACGGGTCTTGGCATTCCACATGTTACAGCCCAGTACGTCATGTGGGGTTGCTGCAATGCTTGCGATGACCTAAAACACTTCTTGACCTTTTCTGTGACAGTGGGATTGGTGCTCAGGAGAATAAGGCCGCTGCTCCACCTACGAGGGGGAAGAGTAAACCAACATTTGAAGTACTGTAACGAGGTGGGGGAGAAAAAAAGAAGAAGAAGAAGAAGAAGAAGAAGAAAAAAGTCTCGCAAAATTCGCTCTCTGTATTATCTAAATGCAATCTTATCCGGCATCAAGGTTACAGGGAGTGAGGTAGGGGAGAAGTGAAAAAAAAAAAGGGATGAGTAGGATGAAGGAGAGTCAGAGAGGGAGAGAGAGATAATAAGAGGGAAAAAGAAGAGAGAGTGAGAGAGAGAAAGACATAATAAGAGGAAAAAAGAAAAGTGTGAGAGAGAGAGAAAGAGAGAGAGAGAGAGAAAGAGAGAGAGAGAGAGAGAGAGAGAGAGAGAGAGAGAGAGAGAGAGAGAGAGAGAGAGAGAGAGAGAGAGAGAGAGAGAGAGAGAGAGAGAGAGAGAGAGACAGACAGCAGGGAGAGAGAGAGAGAGAGAGAGAGAGAGAGAGAGAGAGAGAGAGAGAGAGAGAGAGAGAGAGAGAGAGAGAGAGAGAGAGAGAGAGAGAGAGAGAGAGAGAGAGAGAGAGGAGAGAGAGAGAGAGAGAGAGAGAGTCAAAAGCTAAGGAGTAAAATAAAACACAGCTATAAGAATATGAAAATAAAGCTTGGTATTCTGAATCTACTTTCCATTTTTTGCTTCCTCTAATACAGGATCTTTAATAATGTAATCCTCTATTCTCTCATTATAATTGTGGTTGCCATTTAATCTACATTTCTGCTCAGACGTAAATACGAAAAAAAAAAAAAAATCAAAATTAATCTTCACCTCTCTGTTGATTTAACCACTTCAAGATGATCAACATTATAGAGCTCCTTCAGAACAGGAATGGCCCTGCCTATCGAAGGCACCTGGTCTGGCACTCCTCCACTGGCCAAGGTCTGAACAAGGGTCTTGCTCCCTTCTTTGCGCATCTCGTGATCACTCGCTTGAGAAATGCCATAGGGTTTACACAAGGCAATAAGTCCACCTGTAAAATAAATGATATGAAGTGAAATGAAGAGGAAAAAAGAAGATAGAGAAAAAGGAAGAAAAAATGTCAATACATGATAGTAAAAAATCACGGTAACAAATGCAGAAAAGGTACAAATGAGAAAGCCTCTATATTACTGTGGGATTATTCGCTTTGTTTCTCCTTCATCCACACAAAAACAAAACAAAAAATTCTAATAACTTCTACTAGCACAAAAATACCAAGGTGGTATTATCCTTTTTATACCTGGAATCTGGTACCAAAACACCTTGAGAGCAAGCATCTTGAAGTTAATGAAACAAGGATGCTGGCCCACATTGGTTTCAAACTTCAGTACTGGAAAAAATTTACCTCCTTGGGTAAAACTTGAAATTTCCTTTGTACTTGTCAAAATGGGATAAGCTCTCTCTGTTTGATATTTTGTTAACTGACAACTCTTTATACTACAATAGATTGGCATAAGGACTTTTTGGATATAGAGAATTTTTTGGCCCAGACTTACTGCAATCAAATCAAATTTTCTAGTGAAGGATCATGTCGTATTTTATTTTATTTCAAAAATTAAAATTGGAGGTTGTAATTTTGCAAACAAAATTATTCTTACTCATAATATGCATACCCATGTCATTTGAAATATAAAATATACAATTTCCCTGTGTTAAATATATATTTTTTAAAATTCTACAATAGCACAAAACTGAATGCTAGTGATCCAAGGCTTCAAACACTTTAATGACTAAATGACTAACAGAAAAACAAAAACACAAAATTAGTTTATTAAAAGACAAGACAACAATTTTCCAATCCTTATCTTCTATTACCCAGGACACTGCATAAAAAAAAAAATAGTTTAAGACTGACAGAGTAACTAGAGAGAATCTGACACTTTTGCATAGGAAGGGGAAGAGCAATAGAGAGAGATAAGAGAAACATGAAAGAGGAAAGGAGATAAAACACTTACCATCATTATACACTTCACTGCTTTTTAAATGCAAAGCTAATTCCTTTTTACTTTGCCATGGGTAGAGTCTCTTGAAGACATGCTTTTTCAAAGTGTCTTCTTTCCCCTGCAATAAGTTGTAATACCAATACACTCAATAATATAAAAAAATATATATATA